TTTTTATGTATTTAGCAGAAATATTACGTCACTGGATTGCCAAAGCCTACTACATTACAGGAGATTTTTTTCAAATTTTCTAGTATTTTTAAAAATATTCATCGAAAATTCAGTGCAACAGCCCCCTTAATACTATTACTATCATTATCATTACCCTCATTATCTTTATAATTGCAACAATACTAACAATAACAATAGTAAAAATAATTTTAAAAATTCTATGAGAATTCTAGTGCAGAAGTGAAAACCACTTTTACACAGTGGTTCAAAGTTTAAGAACCAATGTCCCAATCTAAATTTGGTAACTCAATTCTGTACACTATATCAAGATAATTTGTCAAACACTAAACAACTTACCTATTGTGAGGTTTATCAGCTGACATGACAGTCTCTGCCTTGTGTTCCCTGGTCAGTCCCTCAATAGACACACTTAAGTAGAAGTCTTTGCGGAAGGATTGCTCTGCAGGGAGATGAAATCACTCACTCAATGCCTGTCACTTAGAATAAGTGATGGGCATGTGACACAACATTTTACCTTAACCAAGCATGGAATTTAGTCATCAGATCTTTAATGTATTTAAACAAGGCAGTGCTCTCTCAATTATCCTGCACTTAGATCATACTGAATCTCAGTTATTCAATGACTAAAATAGCTTAGCCCCCTATACTAGGGACGTCAAACTCAAAACCCATCATGGGCCAATTTTCATTAGCTACCATTTTGAGGGCTGACAAAGAATTAAAACTAACAGTACTTATCTATATGCAATTATTTTTTTGTTTGCTTGTTTTTCCATCTATTACATTTTAAATGATGACACTAATAATAAGAAAATTAATTGCCATTATTTTCCATCATAGTGATCATAATATGCCAGTCCAAAATTATTCTTGTCATCCCATGGGACACTTGTGACCATCCCAAGAGCCAGGTTTGGCCAGGCGAGCCATCAGTTTGACATCCCTGCCCCATACCATCCCATCAAATATCTAAAAAAATAAGCAGAATCCTCCTTCTTAACTCTGTGATAATTTTTTAATAACAAATGTGAGGTTATAGAAACAGTGCTGTGCATAGATGGTTAACCCCTTGAAACCAGATGTGCATGCACACATTCCCTTTTTACTGTGGTTTAGCTTTATCAATTTTATTTGCACAAAGATGGCTTCAGAAGTGCTTCGTCACTGCACTCAATTATAGGCCTGTCTGACCTCTCCTTATTATTATCATTATTGTTAATAACATCATCTTCAGCTTGATGATAACAATAATAATAATAATAATAATAATAATAATAATAATAATAATAATGATAATAATATAATATAACAACAATAATAAAAAAAAATAATGAGAATAATAACATTGTTACTGTTAATAATATCCTCATCTTGATGATGATACAATAATAATAATAAAAATAACAATAATATCATTATAATAATAGTAATAATAATAATAATAACAATAGCAATAATAATAATAATAATAGTAATAATAATAATAATAATAATAATAATAATAATAATAATAATAATAATAATAATAATAATAATAATAATAATAATAATAATAATAATAATAATAATAATAATAATAATAATAATAATAATAATAATTACATTGATATTGTTATTAACATCATCCTCATCATCTTGATGATGATAATAATAATAGTCATAATAATATCAATAATGTGAACAATAATAATAATGAGAATAATAACAAATACAACAATAATAATAACAATACCAATAATAATAATGATGATGATAACAATTATTATTATAACTACAGTAATAGTAATAACAACAACAGGACTTGTAATTGGTACTTAAGAGGTTAAATACATGCATAGTCATCTATTTTTAAACAATATCAATAAAATTAGAAGCCAGTGCATGTACTCAGCACTGAGTTAAAAGAGACAAGAACAGGCTGAAAATACCTTCACTAAATCCGAGAATACTTACTGTCTTTCACATCTATCATAATCTTGGCAATGACCCACAGCTGTTGCCCATAGGTGGTAAGTGGCGGTGACTTCATCAGAAACGGTCCTGTGGTCATCTGTGACTGGTTGAGTCCTGGTGTCAGCTGTGAGGCTCTCTGCTCTACCTTGGCTGTGATAGGTGGCCCTGAAAGACACAAAGGAGGGTATTGTGGTGTTCGCTTCATGCTAAAAATTGGGCGATGATGATCTTACAAAAGGGAGAGAAAGAGAGAGAGAAGTCGGAGAAAATTAAAACAAGAAAAACGAGGCGAGAACATCTCATTTTGCATCTTACCGGCCAGCCCTACGAAGAGTGCGAGTCCAAGGGATGCAAAGAAGATGATAAACACCATGACAAACTCTCTCTTGTGCATGGTGTACAGTCGCATCTGCACTGACCTGAAACAATTAAAGCCATTTATGTGGATTTCTATGCATGAGGAAAAGGGAGGGAGGGACAACCAGATGAATGATCACTCAAAAGTGTAAAATGAATGAATATCAGACAAGAAGAGAGAAGTGAAAGAAAAGAGAGAGAAATGAGAGAAGGGAGAGAGAAGAAAGAAGAGGGAGAGAGGTAAGAGAAAAGGAAATATGAATTGGAAGACAGAACTAAAAATCAAAGACATTAATGGACAGTCATAAATAAAATATCCATGAACCATAAGAGACGATTGAAATTAAAACTGACTTTAAAAACATTTTTAAGACTATGGTGATGCGGCCTGACTTATTTGTTATGTAATATTACGCAACAGTTTAGACTTTGTGGCTAGGCCTAAGCTGTGTCATGATGCATTTACATGTCATAGGCTGTTACATCATGACAGCTACAGCCGTCAGTCACCATGGGGTTAAAAGTTATTTCATTCACCATTTTATTACTAGACATATGTGTAGAAACACCTTTTCATGGTTATAAATCTGTGGAATGCCAAGGTCTCATTAGACATATTGGTGGTATAAATAGATGCTCAGAAAAATATAAAAATTGAAAAACCGGGAATGGTGACAAGGAATGAGAATATTCCATTCTTCTTACCGATTTTGAGAGTGTTTAAAAAGGCATCAAAAGTTTAAATTAAACACATCATTTATACATCTTTTTCACTTCTGAACCTGTGAATTATTGTGAAGTATTCAAATATTCAATTCTACTTTCATCTCTAATGTCCAGCAACAGTCGATGAACACCATAATCTTTGGATTATATATGACACAAGATATCACAGATATCAAAGTAACACTGTCAAGATTCCACTCTAAGACTCATCTAGACTAGTAACTTCACTAAAAGGAAGTTCCCAAGTCTGTCATTAACTGTAAAGAACGGAGTTCAAATCATACATATCCTCCGCTACTTTTATCCTACTTTCTTTTGATTTCACAAAATACAAACCAATGAAGAGATATTTACAGGCCAAATTCTCTGAGAAAGCCATTTATGTAACTTCTGTCTTCCTTTTGACACGCTCTGGGCCGCATTGTTTGGTTACAGGCAAGTCTTCCTCACTGCAAGCTAACACGCATTAGTCTCACCTGTTAAGAAAAATTCTACTGGTACCGGATGTAGAGGCAATCTCTTTTTTTCACACTTGACACTACAGCCATTATAATACTGTATTTTGTGAATATTGTGTCTATATTAAAACTGTTACAACTATTTTGAGTTCATAACAAATAAAGTAAAATAATGAAAACATGTAACATAATAAAAAATAGCACAAGTTAAACAATCATAAAATTAAAGTTCATCTAGGCAAGGTACATCTCGATGAAAATGAGCACATATTTTGGATATTGTGCAGCTTGTATACCTAAAAGAAAACAAAAATCACAACATTACAGTGACACAACATTCACTTAAATTATTAAGCAAATTGCAAAAATGTCAAGATTTTTGTAGTGCAACCAACTTAAAACGATAAACTTCAAATACAATGTTTAATCTTTTTTCTTTTCCTTTACTAGAGCTGAAGGAATTTCTACATCTAGGAAATATATTTTGACATGAAAATGTTTCTTGGGAGTATCAAATGTTACTTAAAAGTCAAAATACTTCTTAAATTGCTTATATAAAAAAAACATATGGGAAAACTTTCTACATGCCTACCTACCTAATTCATGTATACTGGACTAAGTTACTGGACCCTCAACATTTTCTTTACTTGGAACTAGCTTAACAGTTAGAAGCTATTGTTACCTGAATGAAACAAAATAATAATTTGTTCAGCTATTCATAATCTTATTTCCTATAATAAATCTTATTTCTTATAATATAATAATGGCCATTTCTATTTCACTTCCAATGGGCTACATCTCTCAGCCCCATACACGGATTTAAACAATGATGGATTGTTCTGATTAATTAACTAGTAAGAAAGACTCAAGGAGAAAGAGGTACATTTTTCTTTTTGTATGTTTTCTAGATGTTCTATATGGAGAGCTGATAAGCAGTCATTTGGATAATAATACTACCTACAAGTAAAACTCTTGGATTTTGCCATAAAGCAAGTTTAAAGAAGTAGTAAAATTATCAAAGACGGGATTTTATACCCAGAACCTTGTCTCAGAAATTATGAAGATCTAATATGTATCTCTGAAACTGAATAAGGTCATATTGTGTTATAGTTATAAGAACACCTCATAATACATTGCCATTGAGTAGATGCTCCTAATTGTTTCCTCTTTCTTAGTAGAGCATTATTTTTATGGACCTAGAGAATTAATGGCAATTATATTTAAGAGGATTAAATGGTCGCTGAGAAAATGTATTTAAAGGACATGAGGAACAAATGCTAACACTAATATATATTAAAGGTAATATTTTTTAATATGTCCACCTGGTAACGGTGGATTCCCCTCACCAGCTACAATGCAAATATGTAGGTTTTCTTGCGTGGAAGTCCCCCCTACCCCCCACATTCTTGGACCTGATATGAAAGATACCATGGAAATTGTAGGACAAAATGTAAATAATATACACAGAATCAGTTACTATGTTGTCTAATGGTGGGGGCTGTGACCTCCCAACCCCCCCCTGCGATTCCCCATGGGGGGCTGTGACCTCCCAACCCCCGCCTAGGAAAACAAAGAATCCTCCTCGCAGAGTGGTAGTCCCCCATGGAGGGGTTGCAGGGAGCACAGCCCCCTGCATTAGACAATACAGTGACTAATTCTATGTATATCATTTACATTTTACCCCACAATTTCCCTGGTACCTTTCACGTCCTCCCCTGATATTGGGGCCAACAATGTGGGGGGTTTAGGGGTTTCTGCGCAATAATTGGACAGTGAGAGGAATCCAACGATACTGAAATTGTCGCGATATGTTAGGTGGACATATTCCAAAAAATTACCATATAAAATAATTAACACAAAGTAATGTTATGCCTGCAGTCATTTATCATGGTCCACTGATCTACCCATCAATACCAATACCATACTTTCCGCACTTCACACTCCAGTATTAGTATATAGATCACCATACATATTCTCGCACAGCAGAGCCTGTACTTTCCAGGAACTTCTTAATCAAATTAAGAACCATTTCACATTCAATCTTACTTGAATATGTATTTTTAGATTTGTTGGCCATAATACAAAGCATGGAGGCTATTTATAGCATTGTTTGATGCTTCTCTATTCTGAGAAACTACCATATTAATTATATAAACACCCGAATTCAATTCTTTTTAAAGATATAAACGAATTGCCTACATCAGTTCCAAGAATTTCCAAAATGATGGTAGGAGAGTCGAACCTTTTTCTGCCTTCCTTATTCAATTTCTACATAATGTATACGTGTACCGCCTCTGTACCCTTACTTCAAATATAGATGCAATCTGTAGCATTGTCTAGCCCTACAGGGATGCCTGCTTCTATAAAATGTAATACAGAGAAAGCTATTTTAAATTACTATGAATCCCCCAAAGAAAGCCGGTAATATCTAATAAAGAAAGATCTCCCATATTGCACTAACACGAATATGTGCAGAATACTGTAAAACATCTGCCTAAAGTAATTACGTAATCTTATATCTACAGCAGGGTTGAACTATCCGAAAAATGTCATAAAAGAGGTCGAGCTCAAGGCCTGACATCAAACAGTCGCGTCAATCAGCTGATCCGTTGTAAACAACCAATGGAGTGTCTATATTTTCTTTGATTTTATTTATTTTCTAAATGGTACAAATTAATTATCTTAAGTAAACAATAAAGAAAACATATTTTTTCAAATAAATGTGATGGTTATTCTCATCCATATTATGAATATAGTTTTTCATTTGTTTTCCTGTTTGTCGCAAAAATCAATAGCTTTCCTATCTGCGCTATAAAAATAAGTTGCTCTTGCTATATTCAGCACATACCCGGGAATACATGCAGAATCTGTCACTAATCACATAACAGACATCCAATATAGTGGTTTTTCAGAAAGGTATCGGTGATGACTAGCTTCATGCATGCCAAAAAATGCTAGCTGTAATAATTTCCTAAACTCAAAGTACTGGCACATTGTTAAACATAAAAAATAGCAATAATAAGATCGCTAAATTTAAGAGTAGATTAAAGTAGCTAATTCACATATAAACTGAATCTTACCTTTCACATCTATCATGATGATAAGCAGGTGCAATGAATCTGCTAAATTCACTAAACAAATCACTAACATGAGAGAGAATTTTTCTCATCTTAAACACAAAACTTGCTCTAGGCGTGTGGTAAGTATACCCAAAATTATCACCCATTTTGACCCTCTGCTTAATTTCAGTGCACAACAAATTCTCTGCAAAACGTCCGCAATTTGCCTGAGCCCCCAAGGGTTTTGATCCAAATCTCAATATTATTTCGAGTTTCTTGGGAAGGAAATTGTACCAGCCTTCCCTCCGATTTATCTTCGGGAAAATATAATGTTTTCCAGACTTCCCTAAGGCAAGCAGATGGAACGCTGTCTGCACTGGACGACTCTGGGAACCGCAACATGTACGAAACTTTCTCCCTAAAGCCTAACCAGTATGACAATGGCGGAAAGGTGGCAAAATAACACCTCTTTTAATCTTCACTTTCAAACCAAGTCATTACTCTCTGTTGCTGTTCTCTTTCCCAGTATGCTTAGTAAGTTGGAAAACATCCAGTAGCCGAACAGATTTTGTTAGTCATGTGTTTGGCAGGGGAGCAAGATAGGCAACCATTATTGATTGTACAGTCACGTGTTTATAGATTTACCGTGAGCTTCGGTATATATAAAGAAAATGAGAGATTCTGGCTTAATTAGAGGGGGGAAACTGGTTGCCTGGTGCCTGGTTGGTTTCTGTCTGTATGATGCTTTATTTAGGTTTACCTGTTCCCCAGTGCCCCTGTCTGTCGCTCACTGTGCGTGCTTATGAGTAACTCTCATTAAAATGACAGTCGGATTATCTAGCTACAGTCTGCTACTATTGTTATCCATCTCTCTCTCTCTTCCTCCTCTCTCTCTCTCTCTCTCTCTCTCTCTCTCTCTCTCTCTCTCTCTCTCTCTCTCTCTCTCTCTCTCTCTCTCTCTCTCTCTCTCTCTCTCTCTCTCCTCTCTCTCTCTCTCTCCCTTCTCTCTCTCTCTCTCTCTCTCTCTCTCTCTCTCTCTCTCTCTCTCTCTCTCTCTCTCTCTCTCTCTCTCTCTCTCTCTCTCTCTCTCTCTCTCTCTCTCTCTCTCTCTCTCTCTCTCTCTCTCTCTCTCTCTCTCATCTCTCTCTCTCTCTCTCTCTCTCTCTCTCTCTCTCTCTCTCACTCTCTCTCTCTCTCTCTCTCTCTCTCTCTCTCTCTCTCTCTCCCTCTCTCTCTCTCTCTCTCTCTCTCTCTCTCTCTCTCTCTCTCTCTCTCTCTCTCTCTCTCTCTCTTCTCTCTCTCTCTCTCTCTCTCTCTCCCTTACATTCCCTGTCGACCACGTCGTCAATAATTTGAGAAGCGCATAGGTAACTTAGTCTTAATCTGTGCAGTATGACCGCCGCCTCTATTTATTTTAGGAAGAAATGCCAGTGGCTCACAGCCTGGGGCGTCTGAATGCCATCTGGCTGAAGGCGAGTTTGCGGTATTTTCTCGATGTGTCCGCCGTAGAATGGCAAGCGCCGTAGCACTGAATTTGTGACTCAAAATTCTTTGGCTTGGGTTGACGGATCATAGGATTTAGGGGCATGCCCCTGCCCCTTCCGACTAGTCTGTCAGCAAGCTCATCCCTTGGATGCCTATGTGGCTTGGGACCCAGTTTATGATTATACTTCTACCCTGATCAAGGATCCTCTGTGCTCTGGTGAGGACAGTGGTCAGGAGGTAGATGTCGTTGGGCATGCTGTGCAGTAGACAGTCCATGGCTGATCTTGAGTCTGTGTATGACCACGTGTCCTTCCCTTCGGGATGCGTGGGCCAGGGATCCCATAATCGCAAGTGTTTCTCCTTGGAGCGGGGAGGCATTGTCAGTGACCTTGATGGATGTTGTGGCATCCCTTGCTGCGAAGCCGGCGCCTGCAGTGTGGTTTATGGGATCCACGGATCCGACCGTGAAGTAGGTTCCACTATCCTCCGGATAGTGGAACCTACCTTTTATACTTGTACTTTGCATTAGCCTCTAGGCTAGGCAGTTGTTTGAGCTGAAAGCGTATCATTACTCTGGCTGATAGTCCTGCTGTAGGAGTCTGAATACTTTTTGTCTCATGTATGTTCCGGGGTGCCTGTATGATCTTCGAAAGAACTGCGCTGCCATTAGATCGATCTGGATGTCCAGGGACGGCAGGTTAGCCTCCATGAGGAGGTTGAGGGTCTTTGTCCATCTGGGGGCACCCAGGATGATCCTGGCTGCTTTGTTTTGGACAACGTGTACATAGAATGCTCTCTGTACTTTGTGCCTGGCTCCTATGGGTCTCCCGGTCATTACTTTCATGGCAAACAATATTTCTTTAGTTCGATCAAGCAGGTATTGGATCTCCTCTCTGAAAGTGAGTGCGTGGCCTATCCATACCCGAAGGTTTTGATAGTATTTAACCCATTCCAGATCCATGCCCTAGACAGTGAGCTTTTTGTTCTTGACATTGGTTTTCAGAGCCATAGCTTTTGATATTGCTGATGAAGTCTTTAGACCCGTCCTGCAACACTTCAGACACAAGGTCCAGACAACGCTGGGCTCTAGTGAGGCAGTGCTTACCAGAGATGATTGCCAGATCGTCTGCACAAGAGATCATGCTACATCCCTCTGGCAGGTGTATGTTGAGTATGCTGGACACGAGGGTGTTGGAAAGGGCAAGACTGAGAATCCCACCCTGTGGCGTTACATTTTCTAGTGGCGTGTGCTGAGATAGGAGACCTTGGAATCTGAAGGGGAAGGGATAAGGACAAGCAAATATGCGAAGCTGAGTCTCGCCGAGCCTGTGCCGACGAATGACAACTCGTTCAACGTGTGTCAGCCAGTGCTGACGCGACAGAGCTTAGTCCTTACCCACCGTGGTGCCAGGCACTGCGGTAACCTCCAGGTGACTATTGCAACTTCTCGCGCGAATCGCCAACACCTCGGATGAAAGGCCGACACGGAGGCTAAGGGGAAGGGGAGAGGAGGAAGTATAGAAGAGAGGAAAGAGAGGCAACGCTGTGAACACGTGGCAGGTGAACGAAACGAAATCAGGTCAGGTCAGGTCGAAGGATCTATGTGAAGGGTGGCCAGCATAAGGGGGAAGGTGAAGGATGTGGGAAGCGAGGAGACTATCGGCAGGAGAAAAGCCGCCAAGTTGAAATTAGGCAACGCTTTGATTAAGGAAGATTCCACCAGTATGTGGACATGGTCATCAATGAAAGGGAAGACCATGCGTGCGGCCACTCTAGTCAAGCAGGTACTGGATCTCCTTTGTGAGTGTGTGGCCTATCCATACCCCAGGGTACTGATAGCCCTAAACCCAATCCAGGTCGATGCCCTGGACTGTGTTTGCAAGGAGGCAGAAGATGGCATTGCTGTTGTTTCCCTTGGGTACAGCTTATTCATACTGTGAC